AGAATAGGTTTTACTAATAAAAAATATTTCCAGCAGCATCCATAAAAGAAAGCTATCTTAGAACTGGAATCGATTTCGGCTATGTTAATATCACAAGCAGCTCAGACGCATCAGCATTATGAGAATGCATCGAAATCGACTCAATTTTGTCAGTCTTAACAGGCTTCAAAAGTATTCACTCGTTTTTATACCTTATATCTATAATACACTGCTTTCAAAAAAAACGAAGGGTTTTCGCCTAGTTCAAATCACATAGGAAACTAATACTGTGTAGTTCAAATATAGAACTCAAAACAAAAAAGGTGGTAAGGCACATTGGAGGTACATTGTGAGTCTAGAGTAGTTTAATCAATTTTTTATGTGAATTTTTTCTATTTTTTGAGTATAAAAATTAGGAACTATTTAGATATCGTGGAATGAAAAACTTTTTGTTAATGTTCTGCATGAAAATAAGCAGAAAAAGAAAAAAAACAACTTGGCTCGTCCAGCTCGAGCGTTCTGAACATAACTTTTAGTTTATGAAATGAACTTGCTGAAACTCTAAATTGGAAACACTTTTTCAATCATAGCATATATTTTTATAGAATGACTACTCACTTCTTTCGCTTTATTTTTTACACCAATCAACGAAGAAGATATAAGTTCACTTCTAAATTCGTTATGTGCTATTTGATGTTTCTATTCTAATTTTATCGAATAAATCTTGTTCAAACATTTAATAAAGATTAGTTTTGTATAGATATTCTCAAGTATGCACGAAAATTACTTATACTTTATTCGATCAAGTGAGAACGAAATAGGAAAAAACATCATGTGTTCTTATCTATTATATTATTAATCCGTAAGAGTACACCGTTCGACGAAATGTGTGTATGTATGTGTGTGCTTGTCTGTGTTTATCGTTTTCTTCATTCTTTTCTTTAACGAAGATAAGATAGACGTTGAAGGACAGACGCACAACGGCAACACAGTTGATTAAAGCAACATATTCACAAATCATAATATTGACGAACCACTAAAAAGACTAGTGCGATTATGAATTCTGATAATGTATTATCAATTCCTGATTTAATTGCTAAGAAACGTGATGGTTTAGAACTTAATTCAACTGAAATACAACAATTTATAGATGGACTTACAAATGGTGAAGTTCAAGATTGTCATGTCGGTGCTATGCTTATGGCAATATTTCTCAAAAGTAGCTTTAAAAAGTTTTCACTTGGTTTCCTTTTGTCTTTTTAATTCCATTTTATAATTTTCTTATAGGTATGACTGAAAAAGAAATTTGTTCATTGACTATGTCTATGCGTGATAGTGGTCGACGTTTAAAATGGCCACAATATCGTGGTTTAGTTGTCGATAAACATTCAACAGGTGGCATAGGTGATAAAATAAGTATCCCATTAGCACCAGCATTAGCTGCATGTCAATTAAAAGTACCAATGATGTCTGGTAGAGGTTTAGGTATAACTGGTGGTACATTAGATAAACTTGAATCAATACCAGGTTATCAAACACAATTAACAGATGAACAAATTGTAGAATTAATTTCAACAGTTGGTTGTGGAATATTTTCTCAGTCACTTGAATTAAATCCAGCTGACCGTTATTTATATGCAATACGTGATGTTACAGCAACTGTGCCAAGTAATGCATTAATTATATCATCAATATTATCGAAAAAATCTCTTGAAGATCTTGATGCACTTGTTCTTGATGTTAAATATGGTGCATCAGCGATGATAAAACCACGTGAACTAGCAGAAGATTTAGCTCATTGGTTATATAAAGTATCAGAAATGCTTGGAATGAGAACATGTTGTTATATAACTGAAATGAATAATCCGATTGGATATTGCATTGGAAATGCAATTGAAATTCAAGAATCAATTGATCTTATGAAATATAAATCAGGTCATTCAAATGATTTAGAAGAATTAGTTTGTGAACAAGGTACATATAGAGATAGAATAACAACAAAAAAAAACACAATTAAGAAAAAAATCTTGTATTTTAGGTGGTCGACTTCTTTTACTTACAGATAAAGTAAAAACAATTGAACAAGGTCGAGAAATGATTCGTGAAACATTTAAAAATGGATCAGCTTTACAAAAATTTCATGATATGATTATTGGTCAAGGTGTATCAAAAACTGTTGCAAAACAGTTAATAAGTAATGATGAAAATATTATTGGGTCTATTTTAAAACTTGGTGAAATACATTATCAAGCTATATCATCAGAAACTGGATTTATTCAATCAATTGATTCATTTAAACTTGGTACTATTGTTCAACGCCTTGGTTAGTTCATTATATAAATTATTTTTAATTTTTAATTTTCAACTTACTTTTTTTTTAAGGTGGTGGACGTTTGAAATCCACAGATAAACTTGATTATTCTGTTGGTATTCGTTTATTAAAACATGTCGGTGATGTTATTCAACAAAATGAGCCATGGGCTATATTATATGCTACACATGATGCCAAGCGTCAGTATCCAAAATTTTTAGATGACTTAAATACATCGCTCAATGTTACTTCATCAGCAGTCGAACCTTTACAACGTATTTATAAAGTTCTCGGATCAACATAAGTACATGAATATTTTCAATTTGTTTTCTTTTTTTTTATATTAATATTTCATGCACAAAAATAATAATGCTATTTGGGAATTTGAAAACTAACAAACTAGTTACGTAGCTGAAACTAACATGAAATGATTTTTATTAATTTAACATATTGTAGTCATTTCTTTTTTTATTTGTGGGTTTTTTATCGTAATAAAAAAGATTCAAGAAATATTGATGACTCATATAAAGTAATATGAATTTTATTGGAATTATTTTACAAATACTAATAGAAAAAAAAATTAAAGACTAAATCATTAGTTTAGAAAATCATTATTGAAAACAAATATTACACAAAATTTGAGCAATAGAAAGTACTTTAAATGGTATTTTATCAATCAATATTTGTGTGTTTGGATAAGTATTTGTTACATAAAATGTATTAAAATAAACTTTTGGATTATTTGAATGAAGGAATTTTTTCCAACTTTCATTTGGAAATATACCATGACCAACAAAAGCTGATATATTTACAGCACCATGTTGTAATAGTGCTTGAGCACATTCAATAAGAGTACCACCTGATTGTACTAAATCATCAACAATCATACAATGATAACCTGTTGGATTACCTAGAATATCACCAATGTATATATATTCAATTTCTATCGAGTATATTTAATGTTTACCTTCTTTAACTGTTGTAATACGTTTATCATTATCTTGTCGAATTTTACTGCAAATAATGATTGGATAATGTGTATTATCAAATAAATAAGAAAAACGTTTATGAGCTCCGTCATCTGGAAAAGCTATAGCATATTTTTCATTGTTGATTTCTTTAACTTTTAATTCATTTAATAATAATTCAACAGTTGATTCAAGTCGAACAATAATATTTGATGAAAAGTAAAATTGATTTTGTAATGCATGAATATCAAAAATAACTATTTCTGATGGTCCCGTACGTGTTAATGGTATTGATGAAAGCATTTGTGCTAATGAATAAGCTGTTGCAATTTCACCTTGAATTTGAATACGTTCCATTGTACCGGTAGGAAAATAAGGCAAAAGAATTTTTAATGATCGACAAAGATATTTTGGTAGATGATAAAGAAGAGAAATTTGTTCAAATATAGTTAGTGGACTATGAAACGATGCTAAGAAAAGAACATGACTATTACGAATTTGCTCTGAATTACGAATAAAAATATTAGGCCATTTATCAGGAAATTCATGCCATTCAATATCACCTAATCGAATAGAAGTTTTTCCACTACATAATTGAATTTCTTCGGCTAATTTCTGCATTTCTGGAGCATAAAATAATATTGTGGTATATCCATCATGTTGTTTATTTCCACTTGATTTAATTGATAATTTATTAACACTTATCTTACTAGTCATTGTCAAGACCTGTCTTTAAAAAAGTTTAAAAAAACTGTGAAATACGCGCGTATCTACTTTGTTTGTCTTTTACAGTTGTCAACTGAGCATTGATTTTGAAAAGAAGCAGTTACTATCGGCCCTATTGCTATTAATAGTCAACAGCAAGAATCATATTTTTCTTATTGTGTTCAGCTCTTGGGTAAAAGAAAAAAAAAATATATAGTTAAAAATTATTCCAAAGGAAATTTTTCTTATGAACGATTTCAACATGAATGATTGTTTTTTTACCGATTAAAAATAAAGAGCTCATATTGAGTTTTCCGCCTGTTCTTTTCTTTTTTTTACATTTATTTTATTACTTTGTACTTCTTCAATATTGATGAATGATTCATATGCACAATAATGTGATGATGAGGGTTGCAGGGTTGCCCAACCCTCCCCTTCCCCCCCCCCCCCACTTGTAGAAAATTTTAAGCTTTTTTCAGCCTGCATCGATTTTTTTATTAAAAAAGATCGTAAAACGAAAAAAGAAAGCTCAGCATCCATTTTACTTTCAAAAAATCTGTATATGCACTTTTCCAACTCAAAAAAATTTGCATGCATCCATCCGCAACTTTTTTTTCTTTCCGTCGTAATAAAAATAATATAGAACTAATAAAAACCCAGATGGAAAAAAGAGAAAGGAAGAAATAAAAAACACTATAAATAGTTCTTCTATCTGTATGAACTCTTTCTTTGTGACTGGGTTTTTTTTTCAGTAAATTATTAGAATGAGTAATTGTATATCTATAATACTTAGTTATTATTTTTTTATTTCTTTTTTCGCAGTGCCTGAAGGGTAAAGGTGACAAATAAAGTAAATAAAAAAAGGGTATAAAATAGAATTTTTCATAGCGCTATTGTCAGATATTACGAATGTTATATCAAACGAAACTACTTCGTTGAGAGATTATTGAATAAAGCAAGATCTCAACAAAATAATGGTGTACAGCACAATTACTTACCAACAGCATAATGCTTTATTGTTGCAATCCAAATTGAGAATGTTGGAACAATCTTTTACGGAAATACCCACTAAAAAATGCTTATATGCCATACCAGGATTAGCATCACGTTCATTCGAATTTTCAAATGAAGATCAAGCTAATACGATTCAGAAATTATTTGCAAGTAAGTTTTGTTTTGTCTTATTTATTTAATCTATATTCGTTTGATATGCTATATAGATTCACCGGTATGGATTCAACAACGATCAACATCTGTTGAAGAATTAAAGTCACAAGTTGATAAATGTTCTAAATTAATGAAAATATCATTTGGATATTTGGCATCAACAACAGTTTACTACTGGAGTCAAAAAATTCAAAATAATTATGCATTAGAATGGAAAACAGATATTCATCATAAATGTCTATCTATTACATACAAAACTAATAAAGAAATCCAATTGAGAATTAATCAAGATTGTTTAGATAAGTATTTTATAATTCCATTCGCCAGAATTAAGACTTATACAATGATTTTGCCTCTCAAAGCATCGCCACGTTGTTATCATATTTTGCAACATCGAAAGGGTCGATGTGATAAACGACAACTTGATTTTGAAATCATAAATGGCTCCTGTTTAGCAAACAGTTCTGCTTTATGTTTAACATTTCTGACATATGATGCATTAGTAACCTGCGCAGAGTTTTTGGGTAATACCATGAAATTAGATTGTTATCATGGTCATATTGAATGCATTAAAATGCCAGGGCAAGCATTGCAATTTGACCCTATTTTATCAGACTTTTGGTCAAATTATGCCTTTCAAATGCTATTAACATTAGGAGATCGAATTAAAAATCGTATAACATCAGATACTATTTTTAAAATTATGAAATTATCACATTTATCAAACGGTCAACAATACCCAAATCACCAATGTTATTTAAAATTAACGGCTGTTTATTATCGAGCTCGATATAATTGCTTTTTTGATATCAATCAAGAGTATGACAATATTCAACCATTACCATCAAGTATTGTTTTGGATAAATGGGAATACATACCACGAATATATTTAACACCATATGGTGTATATCCTTTACCAGTTAAACCCATGCGTGGAAATAGAATTTTGCGTGAACGAAATCTGTTTGGTCCTGGTGAAAAATTTTGTCGTGTTATCATTCGAGATGTCGATCTGGGACAACCACAAAAAGATTTTATGCAAATAAATGAACAATGGATTAAAGATTTAATAATAGGAACAAATCCTATTATGGTTGGTGATCAATCATTTGAATTTTTACTTTGTTCAAATAGTCAATTGCGTGATCGAAGTTTTTGGTTTCACGCTCCTTATAAAAATAATCGAGCAACACACATACGAGCATGGATGGGTGATTTTTCATCTGAACAATGTATTGGAACAAGAATTGCAAGAATGGCATTATCATTAACTGGCACAACAGCGACTATAAAAGTAAATGAAAAGAGTATCATATTTTTTAAATTGTTATTGTTTAACAATATAAACTATTTTTATTTTTTAGCTTTTATCTCATGAAATTGAGATAATCGATGATAAATTCGATGATCATAATCGAATTTTTACTGATGGAACTGGGAAAATTTCTCCAATGGCATTAGAAAAGGTTAGTTAACGTATTTTTCATAAAACAAAAATTAAACTACTATCTATTTTAATAATTAGGCGTTAAAGATTTATAATCCAGAACTAATCGAAGATAACTATATGCCTTGTGTAATACAAGCTCGGTTAAATGGTATCAAAGGAGTATTTGTAATAGCTCCTGATTTAAATGAAAGAGGTGTATTGATTCAATACCGTCGTAGTCAATATAAATTTAAGGTAGATCATAATGTACTAGAAATTGTTAAACATTCCAGTTCCGGTGAGAAAAATTTTCAAAAAAAAAACTAGATTACAAATTTATATTTAATAGGGACATTATTTTTAAATCGTCAAGTGATTACATTACTTGAAAATATGGGAGTAAAACAAGAGACTTTTATAAAGTTACAAAATAAGACACGAAAAAAAATATCAATGTCATTATTAGCTAACAAAACAGCTCAACATACACTTGAACAAAATGTTCGATCTTATGATTGGGAACGAATGCGTCAATCAGGTGTACAATTAACTCAAGAACCATTTGTACGATCACTTTTACTGTTATTGGCTCAAGAACGGTAATACATAGATGTGAAATTATATCAGAAACATATTTTTTTTTCTATAGATTAAAACGCTTAAAAGAAAAATCACAGGTTCGAATTCCACTTTCCGATGGACGAATGCTAATCGGTGTTGTGGATGAAACAAATTCTCTTGAATATGGTCAAGTATTTATTAAACTTCGTGATCTAAACGGTCAATCTCAAATCATACAAAATCGTAAAATTCTTATTACGAAAAATCCAGCACATTTTCCTGGTGACATACGAAAGTTAGACGCTGTTGATTGTCCAGCTCTGCATCATCTATATGAATGTGTTGTCTTTCCTGCTCAAGGACAACGTCCTCATCCCAATGAAATCAGTGGTAGTGATACAGATGGTGATGAAGTAAGTTATTCTTTATATTTTTTTTTATACACACCTCATTTTTTAGTATTGGGTATGTTGGAATGAGGAGCTTGTCAACAATGCTACAATACAACATCCACCAGCTACATTCGATGCAACTGAGAAAGTAAAACATAATGGCGAAATTACAATGATGGACAATGCTGATTTTCTTTTTAAATTTTTGAGTTCAGATTCGTTAGGTGCTTTATCTAACCGTCATTTAGCGTGCTGTGCTATATATGGGGCCAGTCACGAAGATTCATGTCGATTAGCACAAATTATTTCTGAATCAGTTGATTTTCCAAAAACTGGAGTCCTTCCAAAATGTCCTAAAGATATAAATGTTAATCAATATCCGGATTTCATGGAAAATAAATATAAAGAATCATTTGTATCAAATTCAAGTATTGGAATTATGTATCGACAAGTCAAACAAGCGTGGGAAATGCATTTAGCAGAACAAGATAAATTAAACAATAAAACGATTAATATGGATAAAAATTTTTTAATAAATGGCTATAAAAAATATATTCATCAGGCTGAAAATGAATATGAATATTATTCTTCAAGAATTAATACAATATTAGCAACTTATAACTTAGAAAATGAATCTGAATTAATTACAGGATGCCATTCTTGTATTGAAGAAGAGAAAAAAAATAATGATTCCGTTGAAACGGCATTATTAGAATTTCGATATCTTAATCAAGAAATGAGAGCTAGATTTGAAAGTGATGAATTAAAGTAAATAAAATTGTTCTTGTTTTTACTATTATAATTCTTTTTTTTTGTTTTAGTTATATAGAACAATTACGTAAAACTAGTGCATATTATTATGTTGCATATACAAAAGGTACTATACTTAGTTTTGGTTGGATTATGAATCGTTTAATGAGTGATATCATTAAACAAAAACAAATAGTTCAAGAAGAACACCAAGCATTGAAACATATTGGTAAAGCAATATCTATGTATGGTTATGAGACGTGTATACGAGAAGTGGCTCGTGTATGCAATGTGGAAAATGATGAATATGAAAATGTCTCGGACCTAGAAAGATTAGGCTCCCTATTTTTGAAAATTATTGATCAATGCAATCAATTTACGAATGAACAAGAATTCGCACATGGCTTTTTGATTTTCTTACATAAAGTTGCATTAGATGTTTTATGAATAATTTAAGGACCCGTGTACATAGTCTTATATTAATCAAGAGTACGTAGAGCGAGTATCAAAACTTTTTTATCAGATTTATTGCACCGGTATTTCAATAGTATATGGTACATTCCAATGAAACCTAAAAGAACAAAGTTAATTCTTATCTTTTCATTTAATGTTAAAGCAGATAGATAACGAGCTTTATAATTAATTTCCAAAAAAATTCAAAATATATATATGGAGAGTTTTTAATAATTATAAACCCGAAATTTTCTTTTATTCATAATATTTTTGTAATTTTTTATAATTTTATTTTTACTTATTCAATAATAAAAATATTTATTCCTGATTCTTGTTATATTTTTGATATATTTTGATATGAAGCAAAGAATTATAATTCTGTATCATTCATTCATATATTGATTCATAATTCATATCGATTTCATTTTAAGGTTTAGAAGTATTTGTATAAACAATATTGCCTCTATATAATTAGCTAAATGTGAACGGTAGTACAACTGATTTATCAATTCAAACTAATATACTCGACAATGAAAGAAAAAAATTTTCTTCCTGACTTTATATTTATTTGATCGCACTTTTTACTAAAAACATAATTAATCTCACATTAAATCATGCATCTCTCTCCTGCTTATAATCTATAATACATCCACATATACTTAAATACAATTCATTTTATGTGCTAGAGTGTCGAATCCATTGTATAACATATCCGATCTAAATAGTATATAAATTAATATTTTTTGTTTTGTAAGTCATTTTTTCTCATCAATAGCCATCGATAGATCTTATTTACCTATGGAAAATAATAAAAGTTCGAAACAAAAATGTTGCACTCCTTATTGTTGGACAATTCTTATTCTAATGTTTATTTTGATACCAGTTATTATATTGACTATAATCTTTGTTATTCAAGCTAAACATGATTCACAACCATCAGTTATTAATACATTGAATACGACAATTATTAATCAAAAATATAATGTCAGTTATACAAAAAAAAAGAAAAATATAATCTTGAAAAGTTTCATAAAGTTTTTCTTATTTAAAATAGATTTCAATTAAAGGTTTACTAACAATGGATGTAGCTGCAAAAACAAATATTTGTGATAAAAGCGAAACAATTGAAGATTGTGTTCTTCTTTATAATGCAAAACTATTTATGAATGCACTTTTATTAGTTAGTAAATATTTTGATTTTTATTGAATGAATTTTCTGTTGTTGCTTTGGATCTTTAGGTACCTTCATCAGCATCAAATCATTCTATAGTATCTTTTTCTTTTCCAGAAAATTCTACAAAAAGCACTATTGCTTGTAAAACATTAAAAATTCGTCGAAATCAATTAGCACAGATTTTCGATTCTATGTACGTATTAACATTTACAGTGAACTCCTTCTTTTTTCCAATGTAAAATAAATTCTATCTAGTACTCTTGAAACGATCTTTAACCTTTCTGGTATTCGATATTCATCAGTTGATGATACTATTTCATCTGATTCAACACAATCACGTTCACAAATTGATGGTCGATCTATAAAAAATAGATGGAGTACACCAATTAATTATTATATTAGTAAAACAACTGGTTTAACTTCATCAATGATTGCTAATAGTAAAACAAATATAAAATTGTTATTTTCTATGTTTCTTTTTATGAATTGTATTTTTTTTCTAGTTCGTATTGCGATTTCAAATTGGGAAAATAATACATGTCTGATATTTAATGAACTATCTGTTATAACACCGACAACAAATACATCTTATGTTTTATTCGAACGTGATGATGAATATGGGTGTTCAAGTCCAGTTGGTTATGATAAAACTGATCCAACATCAGTTATACTTATTTCATCCTATTGTGGTGCTGTAAGTAAATAAATAGTATTAGAAGGCGACTAAAACAGGAACGATTTTCTTATCTTTTTTTGTCAACTGAACAATTAAAATATGCATAAGAATATCAATATATTGTAGAACTTAGTTTTTCGGGGTCTATTAACTAAATTTTGGTATATTTTACTGCTTTAGAGTTTATTAGGACTTGAGGTTTTGGATACTTTGTTTAATAAATCTGTTGGAAGAATAATATATGTGTAATAGATCCAGTAGACTATAGTTATTCGATATTATGTGGCAGGATTTATAATGGAAATCTTATTATGACATATCAGTCGAAATCAATTCGTGTTAGAGAGTACGGTGCAGGGAAAATACCAATAGAGATATATATCTTGAACAGATCCGCTAACGAATTATTTGGTTCTAAGGAGTTTTCATGACAAATTCTGTGAATCAATTATATCTTCCGTATAAATCCACATCTATTTATATAAATCTTATAAATGAAATGATACTTTCATAATATACAGTATAGAAAAAGAATTTATTGGAACTCTTCAAAGAACCAATAAATCCAAAAACAATAAGTTTTCAGTTGCTTCTAGAATGCTGTGGCTCCTTGGAAACACTAGAAAAGCTGGTTTTTGAATTTTCATATGGAACTTTGTATAAAGATAGATCTAAACGAGCGTAGCTTATTGTGAAAGTTTCAAGTCGTTTGACTTGCTTCTATTATGAAATACGAGCATCAAATCTTGGATAGTCAATCCAAAGATACGAGATACTTTTTTTTGAGCTTGTGTATTCACTGATTAGTGTATCTTATAGATTTCTCAAACGACTCGGACTCAGTCAGGTCGGAGATCAGTCTTTCAATAACCTAAGGACACGGACTCTTTTTAGAATATTTACAGCTTATATGAATTTATATAATACGCATAAACTCGACTGAAAAGCGATTTGTTAATTGAAAGACTCTCGTTGTGAGATAAAAGTTTCTTCTCAATAATTAATACTTTTCTTATCTATATAAACTGTAATAATTTCTTTTATACGTACAATCGAATACATAAATACTGTTTCTTAGTAAATTTACATCTAATTTTATGTGAAATAATATATTTTGGTATAGATCATTGGTTCAATAATGCATGAAATTGGACATACTCTTGGTTATATTCATACACAATCACGAGTGGATCGTAACTCTTATGTATCAATAGCAACATCAAATATTCAAGAAGATTTTGCAGGAAACTTTTTTATTTGGATATTTGGTACAATAAGATTTAGTGATGTTACTTTTCCTTATGATTATGGTTCATTTATGCATTATGATTCATATGCATTTTCAAAAAATAATGAACCAACAATAATTCCATATGAGAGTCGATATGAAAAAACTATGGGACAAAGGGAAAGAGCAGCATTTTATGATTATAAACAAATGAATAGACTTTATTGTACAAGAACAAGTACTAAAAAGAAAAGATTTTTTTTCATAAAATTGACATCTGATTCATTTCTATTATTACAGATTGTCCACTAATGTTTAGTAATAATGCTTGTCAAAATAATGGTTATCTTGATCCAAATACATGTTCATATTGTATATGTCCTGAAGGTTTTTCTGGTACTTATTGTGATCAAAAAGATTCAAATAGTAATTGTGGAGATACAATTATTAATTTAAATCCATATTTTTCTACGCAAATAACTATTCAAAATCCTTCACCGACAACCATAATACCAACAGAACAATATTGTGTTTATCTTATTCGAGTAATTGAAATTTCTTTTACTATTCATTAGGCTATCTTCCCTTTTTTTATTTTAAGTCTCTTTCGCCGAGAAAGATTCGTTTACGATTAGATTCAATTAATACCGTGAAACGTTCAGTATGTAGTTTAAGATCATTAATTGAAGTTAAATATCAAAAGGATCTTGCGCTAACTGGTGCTCGGTTGGTATTGTTTAATATCTTGTGGTTTTTTTTTTCAATATAAAAAAACGTTCACTTTTGTTTTTGTAGATGGTGTGGAAATACTATAACATCTGATTGGTTAAATATTACAGCAGAAACAAACACAATGATAGTGATATTTCGAGCTAACAATTCTATTAATATTACAACTGGAAATCCACAAGCTAGTTTTCGTGCTACTATTTTCTTTGGTATGTTTAAGTTCAATAGAATTTTCACTTGCAAGATATAACTATTAGAGTATTTTTTTTGTATTGGTCAAAATTTTTGAGACAAATAAAAAAAATCAATAGAAAATGCTCCATCATAGCATAACTTTATGTGTATCATCAAGTTTAGAAATGTCTATTGAATGGTATATGAACAGTTCTTCTTCATTTGTAAATAATAGTCTTTAGCAAAACTGATTTCATTATTCGACATGAAGTCCTAAGCTGAAAGACTTGAATTCATAATTAGAAAAAAAAACTTTGATTACAAGACTCATATAATATATTGAATAGGACAAAAAAACAATAATTTAATCGTTACCTCATTAAACTATCTTCAATTTCAATAAGACATATGCAGCATGTATGTAATTTTATACGAGAAAAAATTTCTCATATGAACTGTATCAAAAATCATGTTTGAACAGAAAATAAAAAAAGATTAGTATTTAGTAACGAGGTGAAAAAAATCAATATAAATGAAAATCTTATTTTCTCATAAAAAGCGTTCTCATATTGATAAAAATCAAAATAAAATTTCAATTGATTTGTTGCAGCAGTATTCACGATATCTAAAAATGATTAGTTCAATGACTGCATTCTTTATTGATTTCTATATTAGTCTCGAAAGTTAAAGTTATTGACTCATGAAGGTATCTTGAATTCCTTGATTTGATAATTTATGAATCGTTGGTACATTTCTGATTTCTCGTAACAGATGCTGAACCAATACCTGTTGTAAATCTGACAACAATGACAACCACAACCACTACTACTATCAGTAGTACAGCATCAACAATTCAAGTTACTAATAGTCTAACGACGACTGGAACAACCTTGTCAACATGTCCTCCATCATCATTTCGTTGTCAATTACCATCCCAACCAACATGTGGTGGATGTCTAAATTATCAACCTTGTATCATTGAAGGTTATTCATCGAATAAATTCATCTAACTTTTACTATTAATTCTTTTCTTTACAGGTACTCAACCATGTCTAGCATATACATATCAAATTCAATTAACTGATTGTGATAAAATCGTCAATGGTGTTGCTCAATGTCGATATCAGTTAGTATAATAATAAAATTATGAATATGTATCGATATATATCGACAAATTCATTTTTCTAGATTTATTCAAACACAATATACAACCAGTTGTCCACGTACTGTTCTTCTTTGTTGTCCAAACTATCAACTTATTTCAATTCAAACATATTATTTTTGTGTATATAATCCACAAGCAAGCAATCTTCCCAGTGAATGGTCACTTATTATCTAAATATCTTCTGTCCTCTATCGTATAGACTTTCATATACATTAATTTGCTATTTTTTTCTAACCAATAAAACTAAAAAGGCAATTGTCATTCTGTCATGGTATAATTATAAGAGAAAAAAAAACGAGAAAGGTGCTACATACGGTTTTCTTTGAAGATCAGAATATATATTGATAATGAGTAATGAAATTTTAACAGAATTATCTAATGAAAATAATACTCAAATAGAAAAAGAAGAAATAAATAATAAATCAGAACAAAAATCCATTAATTCAACTGTATCTGATCTTGATGACGTACAATCATTTTGTGCTGAATTTCATATAAAAGTTGAAAATGCAGCTGGTATTCGTCCATGGTTACAATTTAGTGATACAAATTTTCCGGGTAATTAAAATAAAAAACGAAATGCTCTTTATTCTCTCAATAAAATTCTTTATTACAGAAGAAGTTTTAAAACAATTTGAAGAAAGTGAATTTGATATGCCAACACCAATTCAATCAATAGCTTGGCCTATACTTAATCAAAATCGAGATCTTGTTGGAATTGCAAGTACAGGAAGTGGGAAAACACTTGCTGTAAGTTATACAAACTGATAAAAAAAAAGCTTTCTTCATATTTTAATTTAGTTTATTCTTCCACTTGTATTTCATATACGAAAACAACCACCATTACAACCAGATGATGGTCCTATAGCTATTGTTTTAGCACCAACACGAGAATTAGTTCAACAAATTCATAATGTTGCACAACCATATTTTAATATGTTTGGAATAAAATCATTATGTATTATGGGTGGTGATGAAAGAGAAAAACAAATAAATGAAATTGGTGATGGAAAAGAAGTTTATATATGTACACCAGGAAGATTAGAAGATTTTTTAGAATCAAAAATAACAACACTTTATCGTGTTACATTTATTGTACTTGATGAAGCTGATAAAATGCTTGATTTAGGTTTTGAAACACAAGTTAGAAATATTCTTGCTGATTTTAAAACATCAAAATCTTCAAAGTAAGAAAAACTCTCAATAGAATCCTCAAGAAATTAAAGCAAGGAAGAAAAAAAAACATACTTCTAAAGTACTGAGAAGTATAAAAATGTTTACGGAAGATTAGATAGTTTTTTTTTGTGAGCCTAAAATATTTATTCAAAAAAACATCAAATATATCATTATCGATTACAAATAGACACAAATATATGTCATAAAAACTCTATTTCGTTTAAGTTTTTCTATTTTTTTTTATCAGGAATTAATTATTTAAATTGATTTCGAATGCTGCTTTTATATTATCTATTTTATTACCATGTACTTATATTAATATTTATACCTGTTAGGTATTCAGTATAGTTCTTTTATGTTGTCATATTTTCTATTTGAACATCTAAGTGTAAAAAAATAATGAATAATAGTACAAAGAGCATTGATACTGTGTCTTCTACTATATTATAAAGAGAAATTGACTATATATTTCTTTTATCTCTTGAGTAAAAGAAATCCTCAAAACTATATACGAGCAAATATATATGTCGAGAAGTATGCTTTTCCCCTTTGGATTAAAATGTGAAACATGATATAACTACTGTCGTTAATCACAGAAAGATTGTCTGATTCTATCTATTTTGGAGTACATTACTTCATCGTTTTTTTACTTAGTTCTCGAGAAATTCAATAAGTAAGTAGTTCATACATCATAACGAGACGTTATTGATATATAGTTTTTTGGTCGTATATCAACAACGCCTGTAACGTAGAGCAAGGATCCTTCTAAGGCATCTGTCACAGTCTGTGAGCGTCTCTAACTAGTTATTATCATAGAGATAGACATGTTACAATATCAATACGATATTCAGGTATTGGTATTGTGACATGAGGGTGTAAATTTCTACTCTTTATACTTCAACGCTCAATCTAGATGGTGTTTCACAAAAACAAAAAAACTACCGTTTCAATAATATTTTTTTTTCTTATTTTTCTGTAGTACTGATGAACAGCAAACTCGACGTCGAGCACAAATTTCTATGTTTTCAGCTACATGGCCAAAGTCAATAAAAGCTTTAGCTGAAGATTATTTAACAAATTATGTTCATGCAACAGTTGGTTGTTTATCAGAATCTCATGCTGTAAATTTACACATACAACAAATAGTTGATTTTTGTCCAAATGAACAGCAAAAAAAACAAAATCTTTTTAAAATACTTGATGAAGTTTGTGCTTATGCACCCGATAGAAAAACAATTATATTTGTACGTACACGAGATAAAGTTAATCGATTAAGTAAAGAATTTGAACAGAATGGTTATAAAGCATTACTTTTACATGGATCAAAAAGTCAACAAATGCGAAATGAAGTATTAAAAGAATTTCGCGAAACACCAAATGCCCTACTACTCGCAACTGATGTTGCGTCAAGAGGTTTAGGTATTCAATTTTCTTATTTTAAATACATATGAAAAAATATTTTTATTTCACTAGATGTTGATGATGTACGATTTGTAATTAATTATGATTTTCCAACATCTGATGCTGTTTATATACATAGAATTGGTCGTACAGGTCGAAGTTCTCAATGTGGTACAGCATTTACATTCTTTTCAAATGAAGATGCTAAACATGCACCAGCACTTATACATATTTTGGATGAAGCTGGAGCTGTTGTTCATCCAATTATTTTACAAATTGGACGAAAAAATGGTTTTAATAAATGGGTAGCAAATGTAGGAAGTAAGTAATATTTCAATAAAAAAAAAAAAAAAACAAAATTCAAATTAATTTAAATTTTGTTTTGTTTTGTTTTGTCAATTGAATTATTATGCGAACTATTAAAACAAACTGAAATTTATTCTTTAGTTCCTCAATATCCAGTCTATAATCCCGATGAAAATTGGTCTGATGGTAATAATAATGGTCAAGATTGGTCGAATGATGATTATTATAATAATGAAGATTTACCACCGAACTTAATGGGTATTGATTTAAGTTCATTTGATTCTAGTCAATTACGATCAGTACCGGTGTCACTTTTAAATTCTAATGGACAACTTAATGAACTTGATGTAAATACTCGTATAAAAAATTTTCAAGATTATAAACAACGTTGTCAATTATTAGAACGTTTATCATGGGAATATAATGATGGAAATTATTCAAATAATCAAAATGATTATGATAATAACTATCATAATAATAATCATAGGTAAAAAATTTTTGTTTTATTATGATAAAATTATTGATTTAGTTATTTTTCTTCTTAAATGAAGATTTAATGGGGGTTGGTCCAATCCTGGAAATGAAAATCAAAATGGAAGAAATTGGAATTCAAATAATAATGAATGGCAAAATAAAAATTTCGATTCAAATCAAAAACGTTCATGGGACAATAATTCATCCTCTTCAAATATGAATAAAAATAATCAATGGAATAGAAATACTACTACTAATAATAATAATAACAATCAGGGACAAACAAATTATGATCAATGGAAACCTTCTAATCAATCACAACCTCAACAACAACAACAGCAGCAACAACAACAACAACAACCACAAGATCAACAATTATCTGATCTTGAAACTAATCCAGCTATTATATATGCTAAAGCAAGTAGTGAATATCATGTACAATATAATCAATATACAACGGCATTACAACAAGCTATGCTTGCTCAACAATCTGGTACACCAATAACACCACAACAACAACAGTATTTAATTGTATGTTTTAGATTATTAATAATAATTGAATTTTCGAAAAGGAAAAAAAACATTAATTTATCTTGTAGACTTTTCAACAACAATTACAAGCTAAACAGCAACAATTACAAGTTATGCAACAAGCAGCTAATCTACAACAAGCATCAATTTTACAAGCAGCTGCACTTAGTGCTGCAACACAAAATGTTTGGAATCCACAAACAAATACATCACAAACTAATACAATGAATGATTTATCAAAATCAACTACTGATGCTCAACAAAATTGGATGCAACAATGGTATTGCAGCATAATTTGATTTTTTATTATTTCATATGATTGAAATTTTTCTTAGGATTAATGCTGGTTATGATGCATCACAAATTGCTGCTTATCAACAATGGTATAGTTTTTAAGAAAGATTTTACTATCGTTATTAAAATCTATATATATTACTTGCACATAAATCTGTCATAATACTTCGAAGGATTCAAAATCGTCAATTTCAACGAAGAAAATATATACGATGTTACGCACCTCCTACATTGATACTTAAGTAGACTTGATAGGTAGAGAATATGAGCTAAAAAATATGGTAATACAAGATATATCAATGGCAAAAAGAAACATGTGACTAGAGTCCACCGAGTCCAAGAATTGCTGGGTCCGGACGAGTCTAGACCCGAGTTTGCTCATGAGTATCTAGTATCTTCTGTGTACATAAATAAGTAAAAGATCAAGGTTTTGGATATTTATTGGCTACTGTCCGGAAAAAATCTATGTTCAGTAATTTGGTGTTGTTCACTATTCCATCACTCGATGTTTGATAAATGAAAAGTTTTCGTTTAATTGAAAAGAACATTAGACGAATCAAAAAGGAAGTCCCCACAATTAATTGATAGACAAAATTCACCAGTGAAAATTGTCAAATTAACAGTAACAGCAAAACATTTAGCTCTAAGGAATAGTTTTAATTCTATTTATATAAACGAAACCAAGCAAGTAGAGAGTTTCGAATCCACGTTTTTGTGGACTCGGGCTTAGGTTTAGAAGGATTCGCAGCTCCATACATGTGATACTCTTGTATTTCACCAATAACAAAATATTTCAGAGTATGTTAAGTTTAGTTTTTGACAAGAAGATATTAAACTTTCGTAATGGCAGGAATTAAAAAAACTATTTTGATATGGAAAAATAAAAATAAAAACAATCTATGTACTATTTTGAATATATGTTTATTTTTCAGGTATGCACAAATGCAAACAGCAGCATCATTAGCTGCTTCTGCAGCTTTGTCTCAGTCACA